AATATTTTAGCCTTGCATAACCTACTCTCTATTCCTACATAATTTGAAACTGTGTATCAGGCCAGTTAGAAGGCTCAGGTGGTAAAGATGGTTGCCAGAAAACCTGATGACACAGGATGCTAGACTGGAAGGGGAGAAGAAGCCCCCGAAAATTGTCATCTGACCTTCACACTTTGTCCTGATGCTTTTGTCCTTGCTCATGCATGTGCACACACAAACAAGCAAACACACACACACACACACGCACACACACACACACACACATACACAAACCAAATACAAATATATCTGACTTACCTAATACAGTAACCAACAATGAGTCAAAGCCTTAGCTACTTTTTACTTTGTTTTGGTAATTTGATTTTGTTATTCAAGTCACAGGACAACAAGGAAATCGTGATGAATCATTAGGTCAGGTATAACTAACAGTTTTCTGCATTTTGGTAGGAATTGGATTGCATTAGACTCACACGTTTTATTGGGTGCTTCAGGCATCAGTTCTTGAAAAGCGAATTTCATCAAAAAGTGGGATTTGTCTCTTATTACAGATAATAGATCAAAGCTTTTATCTGAAAAGTAAAATATCAGCCTTTTCTTGGGAAAAATGAGACCAAAACAAGATTCGTTTTACTGGAGAAAACTCCAAGTTAGGTGATACCTAGCCAGTACAATTCTTTGTCATCTTGTTAGGGTAGTTCTCCCGGGCAGAATGTCATTTCCAATTATATACAAGCTGAGCAATGGTCAACTATTGTCAATCCATTCAGTGTAACAAGTGGAAAGAAGTTAGCACAGACCCTTGTAATTTCTATTACATGAAGAAGTTGAAGAGCAGGCTTAACGACGGCATTTAATGGCAAAAATCACTGCCAGACAACTTATAAGGAAATGGAAATATCTCCATCAATACTCAGGCAACTATCAACATTCAATTGGAAGATATTTGGTCCAGAAAAATACTACCATTAGCTACTGAAAAAGAAGTATGACTTCAGAAAGGAATAATGAAAGATGAAGAACATAGTAATGATGCAAAAGAGATAATTAATGCATCAAGATAAATTGAAAAGTTAGTAAACTCTTGATTTTTGCATAATGCAATGATTCCAAGATTACTATGAGTACATTTGAATGGTTTCCCCTCCTGTTTGTATAAGAGACCAGAGCACTAAAAGTGATGACTCTCTTCTGTAAGTCTATAATATCTAGTGTTTTCTGGGGCCACCTGACTTGTAGTAAAGTATACAAAGAAATAAAAGTAATTCAAGGAGATGTAAAGATGAAAAAGGGACATGTGTTTCCATGTTACCCTTAGAAAGTGTGGGCATGAAGAATCTTTACCATAAATACTATAAAAAGAAACCCATAGAATAAGACATAGAACATGATTCATAGATGTGTGATATGGTAAATAAAATGTAGAAAATTACTGTTTTATTCCAAATGTAAATGCTTCCTTCAAAAGTGCTATCTGCGTATCAATTTTGAGATTTAAGGAAAAGGAAAAAATTATAGAACCCATTTAAGTTAGAGATACTCATATTACCGTAAGGAAATAATTCTTGGTTGCCCCATCAGCTAGATAGGATGATTTGCTAGACACATTAGTGAAGTGTATTTTATGGAGTCTGAGATGATAAACCTTTGGCATTACTGCTGTTTTATTTTAACAAAGTGATACAAAATCATAAGTATTATAATAAAATGACAACAGCTATTGAACACTCAAGTGATGAGCATTTGAAGGATTCCATCACCTAGTCTACAGAAGCCTTAGAATTTACCAATTATTAATAAACACTTGCCGAACCTGAAGCTCAGTGATACAATATAGCTGGGATAGATATGCAGAGTTCCTAATTGACAGATGCAGATAACATGTAGAGTGTCCTCAATTTCAATGCAATTCATTTTTTTACAGGCCATCTGATCATAACCACCCTTCCATAAAATTGTTTGATTTTGGCTATTACATCAAAAATCAGCTCAAGTTTTAACCAATATGTATTAATATGTAACATACATGTAAATAATTAAGTGTAAATTGGGAAGACAATACTAGTCTTTAAGAGGAGAAAATTGTTACTTGTATATTTATTGTATTGTTGGGTAAACCAGTATGCCATATACCTGTAGAGATATGGGTAATATTCTTGCTACTTGATAAATTTATATTTAACTTCAGATCAGGTGAGAGAAATGAATTAGTGGTTAAAAGCATTGACTACTCTTTTAGAGGATACATGTTAGATTTCTAGCTCCCATATGACAGCTCACAACCATCTGTAACTACAGTTCCACATAACTGATGCCCTATTCTGGCCTCTCTCCAGCACCAAAAACTCAAGAGCTGCATAGGTCCATGCAGGAAACCATACAAACAAAATAAAATGACAATTAAATTTCCAAAAGAAAACCACTGCACTGACATTCTTTGTTTTTACTTGTCTGTTTACTTTTTACGTTTTGAGAATTGATCTCAGTACTCCTACATGCAAGGTTCATCCCAAATTCTTTTCTCTTTATGTCCCCTTTTAAAATATTTAACTAAATGATTACAAACTGTATGTACTCTTTCATTCATCATATTATCAATAAGGACCCAGAACTTCATTGTATTTCTGAAACTAAAATCCAAATCTATCCATCAAATAAATGCAATACCCGAGACTTTTAGAAACCACCATAGGTGAAATACTTCAGGATATTAAAATGAGCATGATTTTTTTTCATGAACATCATGGCCAAATTAAAGGAAATCAAAGAAAAGCAAGAACATGTCATATACAATGAAAATTCTTCTTCAGAGTGTAGAAAGCAACTGGAGTGAAAGGTAATATGTGGAATATTTGTAAACTAAATATCTAAAAAGAAAATGATCAAAATTACTCAAAGAACTCAATAACAACCTACATTTTAGTTTAAAAATAAGCTAAGGTAGCTAAATGTACACTTTGGTCAAACTCAAATGTTTCCTAGGATCTCCATCCTACAGATCAAGAGCCTCCTTTACTGCAATTGCTCAGTTTATGAATCCCGTTATCAGTTCTCAGCCCACACTCCATGTAGCATTTCAGATATCATTTGATTTGTCCTTCTTCACTCTGTGCTGCACAGAACAACATCTCTGTTGCAATTGGAACAACCCAACATCTTTAAAATGCCGTGGTGTCTTTATTTACTGTTACACAATTTCATCACTCCTCAAATAATGTAACGATGACCGTATGCCTGAAAAAAATGGTGTCCATGAGTAGTATCTGCATTCTTTGAATGAAAATGATATTTTATCTCAGTTTCTTCTCATTCCATCACTGAGTTAAAAATAATGATTTCTGAATGTCTATTTTATCCAAGATATTAAGTTAGGAACTTAGGGAGATGAACATATGAAGAAGAACTTATTCCATAAAGCCATTATTGTTTGTACATTAGATATTTATGTAAGTAATTAAAGAGGATACTAAGGGTGTAATTAAGACAGCAAAGTCAGCTAAAACACTATGAAAAGCTCAGCCAGATATAACTGCCTATCTGTCAACATGTGTTATTTTAGGTGACCTTTGAAGAAAAATAAAATATTGATGGATGTGAAGAGTAATGTGTAGAAAAAAAATCAATGGTGAAGGAATTGTATGGTAAAAGACCCCAAGAAGAAAAATGTACTTTAAGACCAGGGAACAGAAAGTTAACAAGTTAGGATTATATACAGGGATGAGCTCAAATAAATGACTTTAAACACAGCATGGTTCAAAACCATGGGGGTTCTTGAATAGCAATATAAAGATATGAAACTCATTGTTAAAGGGATGGAACCCATGGGTTTATTTAGCAGGAAGAAACATAATACCTGTGATTTCAACGACAAAACAAAATGCACACCTGCCATTTCCTTGTTGTTATCACCCAATAAATCTCCACATTTTAACTTAATTGAGTTTGAAAGTCAGTTTCAATCATTTCTTATAGAGGAGTGTCACCTCTTTTTTTTTAAGCCTTCGTGTTTTGTTTCTCAAGATAAACTATGCATTATTTCTATCTTCCTTCTTTGTTCACATTGATGTGTAATGTGATATTCATCATTTTGAAAATGATCTCCTTCATTTAACATGAATTTATGGGTAATTAATTTTCATCTTTGTTAACTACAGTGTTTTTGTGGGATAGTGACTTAAAGGTTTTTAAAATGATTTGCGTGACTGGATGGTCAGAACTATGACTTGGTAAGAAAAATCGTCACCATTGCAGAATATACACTAAGCAGACAACAGAATAAAGTTAGGGATAATTGCTAGATGGTTACTGTTTTGTCATGGGGTTTGTGAGAGGATATTATAAGAAGATAAACAAAGAAGTGAAAAACCAAAAAAAAAGAGGAGGAGGAGAGGAGAGGAGGAAGTGGGAGGGAGGGAAGGAGGAAAGGAAGAAGAAGAAGAAGAAGAAGAAGAAGAAGAAGAAGAAGAAGAAGAAGAAGAAGAAGAAGAAGAAGAAGAAGAAGAAGAAGAAGAGCACTTACTATATGGGACATGGACATGAGGACCATTGTGTTGGGGAAAACCTTAATAACCTGAAGAAAGTTTGTATATCCACCAAAAAGATGACTTTATAAACAAGAATGTCTTTAAAACTTATTTAGATTGTCAAATGGAACATCCACTTCTCTCCATGTCTGTAAACATGAAACCTTTTATATGGAAATGGGAAGGTTGTTATTTCTTCAGCCTTAAAGACCTAAAACTGATCCTTCAGTATTTTATGAGTTATGAGACCATAAAAAGTGGTAAGAAATCAAGAGAAATACACAAATACACACACACACACACACACACACACACACACACACACGCACGCGCATGCACACCCATGTTCCTTAGATGGAAGCAATATCCACTATTTTCAACTAATCTTTTGACTTGAATTTCAGAAGTTCAAGATCTATTTGCCCTCTTCCTCAGCTAATTCTAAATTAATTCTTCTTTTGTTTCTTTGCTTTTTCACAGTATGCTGTCTGGCTAGTCCTCTGGGTGACGTGGAATGTGTTTGTTATCTGCTTCTATTTGGAGGCGGGGGATCTCTCAAAGGTAATTTGCCATCTGATTTGCCTGAGTCATCACTCCTGAGTTAATGAATCTCTTTCTAATTTAGCCCAAGTATCTCCCGGCTCTTGTCTTCTAGGTGTGGTGGGTGAAGGTGAAGAGAAGGGTTTCTCAATTTTACCTCTGTGCTTCTATCATCACAAAGATGTGATGTGTGTTTTGTAACAAAATTAATTTGGGATGTAAATTATAACACTCCTAATGTAATATACCTTTATGACATCCATGGAAGCATTCTAAGGCCGAATAGGATGGTTTTCAGAGAGAAATATCTTAAAGATTTTTGAAGCCACTTCATTGCATTGTATTCAACAATGTTTTCATGATTGAACTCAAAGAATGTGATTTCTTTATTTACTGTGTGAGAAGCACTATTGTAATTTTAAGATGAATTCATTGACTATTGAATAATGTAGTCTGCAGAGTGCTAAAGCCACCATTGTTCTATTCTAGTATGGTTACAGCAAATAGGGCAAATAAGGCAATCCAATTAAGTATACCTTGACTATGGAGAGAATTTCCAATTTGTTGTTCTTGCTAATGTTATAAGACAGAAGTTGTTATATATTTGTTCTTTTTCTAACAACTTGACATTTAGTAAATGTCTTAAACACACCGACATCTTTAAACCCAATACTCAGGAAAAAAGTTTCTAGATAACACTTCCCCATATCTATATATCTGGTCAGGCTAGGGAGATATGGGGTGGAAATATATATGTAGGAATTTGACAAAACATTCAGCATTTTTAATAGTGTTCGCTTATCATTTAATCTGTGCTATGGATTTACATCAAGTAGAAATCATGTTGATTTATCTTGATTCAATGACAAAAGATGGAGAGAAAATGTGACATTTGGGATGAGGAAGACTCTAGGGAAATATTCAAGGAACAGATTTGGGGCTAGTTCCTCACAGTCAGCCTAGCGAAGGACCACTCAGTGATTTGTCCAGAGAGTCATTCTGTATGCTTGTGGCAAGCAGACAGCCCATTTGGAAGGGGCTGTGACCAATGGAGAAAAATTGTTCTGCCTGCTATAGGAGAAGCACAGATGATATCGCGGCTTGAAAGGCAGCAGCACACCTTCCCAGGGACCTGAGTTAGTCCCCCATTTATATATCTCTGCTGTTCTGTAATCCATTTTCTTCAAAGAAATTTCATGTTAGAATGACATTTAGCAATATTCTCTATTTAAAATAATCACCTTAAAATTGTAAGTCAAGTATCAGGAGTATTGACAGGGTGAAATGATTTAGCAAACCCGAGTTTGTTTAACATAAAAACACAGAGATAAAGAGAATTGAAGCAAGCTGAGTGCACAGATGTTCTCTGGAGGCAGCAAGCTTTCCATGTGTATCTATAGACACAGAATAGAGGCTGGGATCCCATGATTTTAAACAAGACCATTAAACCACTGTGAGGGCTCATTCTGAAACCCTAAAGACCAAGAAAGCTGCAAGCCACAGTCTGAGAAATCATTCTCACAGGCACCTAATGATTGTCCATCATCATCATCAAGGCTTCAGAACACATTCAGATTTAATCATCTCCTTTTAACATAAAACCATAAAGGGCTAAGTTCTAGTTACCTGCTCTGGGTTTTCTTTCCTGCACAGAGGATTTGAGGAAGGTGACTATGGCATTTAATTCTTTAGTTGCTGCAAGTAACTCATACTTCATGAGGAATACAATGCTAGGAGGAAGCACTAGTGGTTGAAAATGTGAGATTCATGAAAAATCAATAATGGTTCTGTTGAGACTGCTTACAGTAGTCAGATTATAGCCTATGAGCCATTGTCATGTTCATCCCTCTGAAAAGCAAGACAGTGTGTATCCCATCTGAATGCTCCATGACTTGAATCTCAGGAGTAAAGACAGAAAATGGAATAAGAGGAGCTATTCAGTAGGATGCACCTAATGAGACAGGTGTATTTTTTCCATACAGTATGAAAAGAGGTAATTGCTTACAAGAAATACACACAAGAAATGATAAAGCTTAAAGATTTTAGTAACTTTAAAGTGAAAATTTAAAGTTAAAAATTTTTGTTACAATTATGTAGAGATCAGAATTTGGGTTCTCTTTTTTATAGTGTTTTTCAGTTTATTTTTCTAAGCAAACAGTTTTCCATGTGGTTATGAAGTACATACAACCATGAATGAACTCAGATAACATGATATGAACTAAAATAATATGGTATGTGAAACTAAGCTGTTTGATCTTTGATTGTCTTTTTAGATATAGTTATATGGTTAATGCTATGAAAATACAGCATTATTGCCAAATTCATTTCAATGAGTATGTAAGAAATTGTATCCATTGCTGTGGGAGTGCCAACTTGTTCAGCCACTTTGGAAATCAGTATGGAGATTCCTCAGAAAAATGGGAATAAACCTACCACAAGACCCAGCAACTCCACTCTTAGGCATATATCCAAAAGATGCCCATTCATACAACAAGGATGTCTGTTCCACTATGTTCATAGCAGTATTATTTGTAATAGCCTGAACTTGGAAGCAACCTAGATGCCCCTCAACCGAAGAGGGGATAGAGAAAATGTGGTACATTTACACAATGGAGTACTATTCAGCAGAAAAAAAAATGGAATCCTGAAATTTGCAGGCAAATGGATGGCACTAGAAGAAACCATCCTGAGCAAGGTAACCCAGTCACAAAAAAAGAAACATGGCATGTACTCTCTCATACATGGATTTTAGACATAGATCTGGGGAGTGCCAGCCTATAATCCCATGGCCAGAGAATCTGGGAAATAGAACCTTCATTCAGTGGCTGATGGAAGAAGAGGCAGACTCCCATGGCTAAGCACTGAGCTAAACTCAAGAAATCCAGTGACAGAAAAGGAGGACTGATGAGCAAAGGGGTTAAGACTGGGCTGGTTTAACCCCCAGAAACCGCTGGCCTGACAAGAGTTAGCTCTTGAATCCCAGGCATCAGCCTGGGAATCCAGCATGGGACTGATCAAGACCCTCTGAATGTGGGTGTCAGTGAGGAGGCCTAGGTAATCTATTGAGGCTTGGGTAGTAGATCAGTATTTATCCCCGATATACAAAAGGACTTTGGACTCCCATCCAACAATGAGAGATGCACTCTCACCCTGAACTCTTGGGGGGAGGGTCCAGGCCCTTTCCTAGATGAAATGACAGACTATGGACACCCCCATGGAGGGCCTCACCCTCCCTGGGGAAATGAGGGGATATTGGGGGGGGTTGGTGGGAGGGCACAGGAGGAGGGGAGGGAAACGGAGAGGGACCTGGAATTGACATGTGAAGCAACCTTGTTTCTAATTTAAAAATAAAAAATATCTGAAAAAAAAAGAGTTAAGTATGACTTTGAGGGTAAATATGGTCAAAATACATTGTACAAAAGTTTCAAAGAATTATTAAAATACTGTGTATACATAATAAAAAAGAAATTGTATCTGTTAAGACTCAAGAAAAAATAAATTTAATTTTATTTTTATCAAATAGAGAAACTGTTTTTTAAATTTTGTTAATTTGCCATAAAATCAGAATATAAAAGATCATAGCAGCAAAAACCACCCATACTGCACCAATAATTTCTACATTGTTCATATTAGTAGCAAACATGTTAGTTTAAACAAAATATAATCAAGTATCATCTAATGTATTGTCCCTTGAATTGGTGTCTTAATAGATGTGCTGTTTGGAAACCAAGAGGAAATAAGTTTTCAATTTGTTGTATATAGTAACTTTGTTTGAAGTTGCCTTTGAACATTAAATGTGAAATGAACCATTGTGTTAGGAATTTTGAGAAGTCTTCATATGTAGTTTTCTTATTTCATTAAATTATACTAGTCAATTATGATTCTCTTATCATTTTTCAGGTAGAAATAAGAACCCATCCTATCCATCAAATAAGCTGAATTATTGCAAAAAGATGAAAGATATGTCATTTAACATATAGTAATTTTTAGGTTCAAAGTACATAACAGAATAAAAGCACATGTACTATAGTGATTTATTTATTCATTTTCATCACCTGGGATAAGAAAATAAATTTTCATAGTAACCCAGGAGAGACCAATTTGTTATTTTTAAGCCTGTGAGACTAAGGGCACAGGTACATACCTGTCAGATGTCACTAGGTATTAGAGAATTATCTAGTGAAATCTAGGCAACAATATTTAATTATATCTAATGGTGTGTGTGTGTGTGTGTGTGTGTGATATTCAGAAATTCATGAAAGCTCCTTCTAAAAAGCTGTCCTGTTTTAATGACTTACAGTTGGGTGTAGGATCTAGATAAAATTTATTATTAAATGTTGCCATCTGAAAGAGCCAGATAGCACATACAATTCAAGTTTTGGGGAAGAAAACTGTTGCCTTCTGTAAGAAGCAGAAAGAAGATAAAACCTTCCATGCACTGTAGACTGAAAGGAACAAATCCTTAAAAACAGAAATGAGTGGTAGACAGAATAATGGACTTTTACAACAATTTTAGCTTTGCTTCTTCCATAAAAAATACATTATTCATTTAGAAAGATTCCAATGTTTGCACATGTTTATATTTAATGAAATCAATGTTCTTATTTGTCAGATTGAAGGCTTGTCTATATAATATATTCAAGACTATGAGCAAAGAATTGTGACACTGTCTAAATAAAAGAATGATAAAATGAGACAAGGATGTAGCTACACAGAAGAATGCTAATTTAGCAAGCTAAAGAACCTGAGCTCAATACTTGTCATAGCAAAGAAAAGGATTAATTTTGTTAAATATCAACAGTAAAGTGTACTGGGTCCATATATTTTTGTAGGTTTTACTTTCCTTGGTGTATTAGTTACTTTTCCGTTGCTGAGGTAAAACACCATGAGCAAGGCAACTTGTAGAAGAAAGTTTGAGTTTAAGGCTCCAGATAAGAGTCCATCATGGCAGGTAGGCACACATCAGACAGAGGCTCAGGGACTGGAGAAGGAAGCTCGAAGCAGAGAGAGCGAGGGGCAAG